CTCGCCTAACATACGGCCAACCTATATGGTCTCCTGAACCTTGGCAGGAATGATGCCTGAGCACAGAGCTAGGAGTAAGCCCTGAGCACCGCCAGGTATATTCACCCTGTCCTGTCCTGTCCTCCGGTTGTTCATTGATTTGCTCGAGTGGGCCCAATAGCGTCTCCACCATGAGACTTGTTGTTACTGTGTTTGGCATGTCAAATACGTCATGAGTAGCTTTCCAGGCTTTGCTGTGCGGTCGAGATACTCTCAGTAGCTTGCCGCGCTCTCCGTGAGGGACGGAGGAATCGAACTTGGCTCAGCCAGGCCGGCCGCGAGCAAGGCAAATGCCCTACCGCTGTGCTATCGCTCCAGACCATATCCACCCTAAAAAAAACACCAAAATGATATTTTCTTGGCTGTGGATGTGTATCAGTGGTAGAGCATGTTTTGTATGTATGAATGAACCTGATTTTAACCTCCAGCACCACAAAACAAACAAAAAATAATCAAATCTTCTGTTGGATTAATATCTATAGTACTGTATAGTGATTAACTGTTTATAAACATTTCTTCTTTTCTTTTTTATTCATTTTTTTGGGGGGGTGCCCTGGTACTACTCAAAAGCTACTCCTGGCTCTGTGCTCAGAACTCATTCCTGGCAGTGCTCAAGGGATCTTATGCAATACTACTAGGGATTGATGTGCAGTGCTGGGTCCTCCTTTGTTCAAAGCATTCACTCAGTATCTCTCTGGCCCCTCTTTTTCTTTGTTTGCAGAGCTGGTGACTGCAAGACATGCAGTCTGCCACTGAGCCACAGAAGTTTCTGCATGCACTGTATTTCTCAAATAAAAAACTGCAGCCTAACTCCAACCTCAGCCTATAGATGTCAGAGCCCGGGGCCAAGCAACACCCAAGTCTAAGAAATGGGCAGAACGGAAAGCCCCCTTCCTATACTTATTTATTTATTTATTTGCTTTTTGGGTCTCACCCAGTGATGCTCAGGTCCTGACTCTGCGCTCAGGAATTACTCCTGGAAGTGCTCAGGGAACCATATGGGATGCCAGAGATCAAACCCTGGCAGCCGCATGCAAGGCAAACATCCTACCCACTGAACTACCGCTCCGGGCCCCTTTCCCACTGTTAAATGACCTCAGCTCACTGATACAGGTAGAGAAGAGCTGCTAGGAAGGTCAGATGATCTGGGCCAGTGTTGAGCATTACCAATTCTCACCACCCCTAAGCTGCTGCAGTTGACAAACCCCTCACCCTTAAACTCCAGCAAGTGCCCTTCCCATCACTACCACTGTCTCCAGGTGCCTCCTCCCAAAGGCTCCCGCCCTCTTCGCTCTCAGCATACCCAGCCCAGGGCATGCCTCCCACGCCTGGGTCTCCAAGCTAAGGAAACACCACCCCCGAGCCAGCTTCTTTTCAAAATTTATTTATTTTTATTGAATCACCATGAGGTACACAGTGACAAAGCTGTTTATGGTTGGGTTTCAGTCATACAATGTCCCAACACCCATCCCTCTACCAGTGTGCCCAGTTTCTCTCCAGTCACCACCCCCATCTTCAGTCTCTCTCTCTCTCTCTCTCTCTCTCTCTCTCTCTCTCTCTCTCTCTCTCTCTCTCTCTCTCTCTCTCCCACCCCCTCCCATTTTGGGTGTTATGGTTTGCAGTACAGGTGCTGAGAGGTTATCATGCTTGTTCCTTCACCCACTTTTAGTACACAGTTTTAATCCACAGTGATCATTCCCAACTCTCATTGCTCTCTCCCGACTGCCTTCTCCCCCATCACTTGAGGCAGGTGAAGCCAGCTTCTTCATTCCCAGCTCAGCCCTTGCCTCCTCTCCTTCACACTCAACCCTCCTGCCACCCTTTCCTGGTTTCTCTCGAAGTCATTCCACCCACTTCGCTTCCCACTGGCTTCATCACTGTTACAGGAACAGCTAATTTTGTTTTCCCCTCCATAGGACAGGCTTGGCTGCTGTTCCCACCCAGTCAGCATCTAGGTAGGAAGGTGGCACCGGAGGTGGGCAAGGGCTGAGGAGCCATGCAGTTCTGCGAATCAAACGCAGGTCTCCTGCATGCAGTGCATGCACCCAGCCCTTTGAGCGATCTCTCCAGCCTGGGATTTATTTTTACCTGCCCACATGAGACAGCCTGGTCTCCTGGGCCGGTGTGGGCGCTGAGTGTTGTAATTCCGCTTGAGCGCCAGCTATAGGGACCAATCTCAGCCTGGAGCGCCCTCTGGCGGTGATGAGAGCCAGGCCCGGCAGTCTTCGCATCTCAGAAATGTCCCTCCACAGTATCTCCTGGGTGACCTCGCTTCTTTCGCGTCAGGTCATAGTCGTAGTCCGCCCCAATGAGCTGCTGGGATGAGCTAGCAGAGGGGCCCTGGAGGGTCAGGTGCTCTGAGGCTGGCTAGTTGAAGGTTTTTCGGAGGTAACCCTGCCCGCAGAGGAGGGCCTCACCGTTCTTTTCCTGGTGCGCCCCCACCAGCTACCTGCCCCCAATGATCTGGAGAGTTGTGGCTGTCCATGGAAGCTGGGGTGGGGGTTGCTGTCACCTAGAGTAGAGCAAGGTACCTTTACTGTATGAAATATATGCCAGTGACACTGACAGGGAGTGTCTTGCTGGAACCATCCTTTCTGGGTCTGGATTCAGGGTGGTCTGGATGTGGATGGGATAGGGTTGAAACCCTGATAATCATGGAGACTTTTCCTTGCCTCTGTCTCTGAACAGGACTCAGAGGAACAGCCTGTGCTAGGCAGTGGTGATGTCCAAAGTGGCTGAATTCCTGGGCCAGGGTGGTAGTACACACTTGCCTGTGGTCCATCTGGCAGTGGTTGTGGCAGATTCATCCCCATTCATTCCCAGCACCACAGATGGTCCCCAGAGCCCTGCCTGGAGTGGTCCCTGATTGCAGAGCCAGCAGTAAGCCCTGAGCACCGCTAGGAGTGGTAAAAGGAAAAGTGGGTGAATTCCTTTCTTTTTTAGGGTTAAAGAGGGTTAGAATAGTACCCTGGGTGCTAGAGGGATACCCCTGGCTCAGGTGCTCAGGCTTCCTAGGAGGACTGAGAGGAACTGGGGATCAAACAAGGGCCTCCTGCTAACTAAGCACGTGCTCCAGCCCGTTAAACTCTCTCCCTCTCCAGCCTGGATGTAGGTGGAAGTCCAGTATATCCTGGACAAGTCATTTACATGTTTGGACCTTCCCAGGTGATCTGGAGCCTTCTGGGTCTCTTCTATTTCAAATCAGCAGGGTCCTAACAATTAGGGAGTTGCTGCATATTGTGAATCCCTGGGTGAGTGTGGCGGCACCTCACATTCTGGCTGGTCACTGCTTGGTAGCTGGAAGCAGGGGTAGGGTCAGGTAGGCAGCCAGAGCTATAGGTAGTATCCTTGGCACAGCCTGGCAAAGCTCCTGAGGGCATTCCCAGAACCCGAGGGCAGAACTAGTTTGCAGGAACCAGAGCTACAGGTTCAGAGCCCTGGATTGTGCTGGTGGGGTGGGAGCTGGTGCTCTGGGAGATTTACGGATACCAGACATCATATAAATGACCCTTTAGGGCTCCTTGGACAACAAACCTGTTTTACACCTTATCTCCTGTCATCTCCCCACAGTGCAGAAAGGCAGGCAGGGGTATGAGCTCAGAGAGCCTGACTGAGTGTCTAGCACACAGCTAGTCTGGAGAGAGAGCCAAGACCATGCTGTCTTGGTTGTAGCAGATTCATCCCCACGAGATGGTGACAGTTGGTGAGATCTTTTATGGAAGTGAGATCCTGGGGGCCGATGGACTGTTCAGAGAGGGGGAAACGGAGCTGGAGCAGAAGTACAGTAGGCAGGGCATGTGCCTTGCACACAGTTGACCCGAATTTAATCCTTGCCATCCCTGGGCACCATCAGGAGTAATTCCTGAGTGAGGAATCGGGAATAGCCCTGAGCATTGCCGGGTGTGACTTAAAAAGCCAAAAAATAAAAACAAAAACAACAGAGGGGAAGGATCTTGGGACTGCCCGTGGTTAGGCTGGATGAAGTTCAAGGATGGGTAGAGGAGCAGGGTGTCCAATAAATACCACTTTTTCTGTTCCCAGGCAGGAGGGGGCGCTGGAAGTCCATCATGGTGCAGCTATCTGACCTCACAAGGTCTGGATCACTGCCTTCCGCGAGAGCTAACCAAGCTGTTCTCCTGTGATTTCACCAGGACAAGGACCAGGATGACCCTGAGTGAGGAGTCGAGGGTGAAAACTGAAGGAGGTACAATCCCGGGATCCTGAAAGTATCAGTTGGGGGGAGGGGAGGGGCGCTATGTCTGAGGCTTCCCTTCAGCTGTCTAACTCTAATCCAAAACTCCCAAAATGCAGAGACTTCATAACACTCCGGTGTCATCTTTCTTTCCCCTTTGGAGAGACAAGGCTGAGGCTGGGGCCGGAGGCACGGGGACCGGGATTAAGGTACTTGTCTTGCACACAGCTGACTCCGGTTTGACTCCCTGTACCTCATCTGGCTCCCAGGGCAACGCCAGGTGTGATCTCAGAGCGCAGAGCCAGAAGTAAGCCCTGAGCACCTCTAGGTGGTCCCGAACCCTCCACCCCCAATATCATGGTAGAAGCTGTGAAGAACAAGTCCCCTGTGTGTGATCTGATCTAGTCCTTTCTGCAAAGCCAGTATCTGAACTGCTCATTGGCTAGAAGAAAGAACTTCTTCGCGCGGGACCGAGAGAACACAATTCTCTTGCAAAGGTTTGGCAAGTCCCAGCTGCAAGATGAGTTCCACATATTCTTTTGAATACACGGGGCAGCAGGCCTGGGGAGCGGCGATGTCTTGTCCCGAGTCGTAAGCTCTCACTCAGGAACTGCAAGTGGGATACGGAGCAAGTGCTAGGGGCGTGCCCATCGAGGACATCGGCCGTCTGCTCGTCGGGCCTGCAGGCCTGAGCGGGGAGCGCGGAGCTGCTCTGCGCCGTTCCGGGTCCGGGCAGCGGAAGTGCGCGTGCGCATGCGGCGTGCGGTGTGCGGCGTGCGCACGGGGCTGCGGGGCATCTGCGGGGTGGCCGCGGGGCGAGGGGCCATGGCGTCCCTCCGGAGCAGCGGCGCCGTCTGCGTGGTCTGCCTGGAGAAGCCCAAGTACCGCTGCCCACACTGTCGCCTGCCCTAGTGAGTGCTGGAGGCCGCGGGCCGGGGGAGGGCGGGCGGCGGGGCGGGTCCGCGCGCCCCGGGCACTCACGCGGCCTGTGCTTTGCTTTCAGCTGCTCGGTGGCCTGCTTCGGGAAGCACAAAGGTAAGACCCCCGTCTTGGCGCCTGCGGGGCTCTGGCTTTCGAGCCTCCCCCCCCTCCGATCCCCCCCTTTTTTTTTTCCTTTTTGGGTCACACCCGGCGATGCACAGGGGTTACTCCTGGCTCTGCACTCAGGAATTACTCCTGGCGGTGCTCGGGGGATCATATGGGATGCTGGGAACCGAACCGGGGTCGGCCACGTGCAAGGCAAACGCCCTGCCCGCTGTGCTATGGCTCCAGCCCCCTTCCCCCTTGTCTTGCCTTCTCCCCGCCGCCTGCCCGCATCGCGTAAAGGCGCCCTCGGTAGCTGGGGCATCTTCGCCTTCCGACGCCGCCGCCTCCCGGGGGCAGACGCTGCGCTGGGTGAGGTTCAGCAGAACATTCACTGTGTTTGAAGTCATGCCACGGGAGTTACTCTGCCTGGAGTCAGAGCTTTTCTCGTTTTTTGAATGTGCAAATGGATACCGGCAGAGATCCTTAAAAGGAGTTCAGCAGTTTGGAATCCGCTTAGCGAAGCCAGGCGTACACGCCCCTGGGGAAGAAAGGGAGTTTACGCGGGCTGATCCGCTCCCCTTGCAAAGCGGAGGCCCACAGGTGAGAGAGGCACAGCTGCGTGCTAGTGAAAGTGGGGGAAAGCGTCCAGAGAACCTGGGGTGGGGGGTAGGCTTGGAACGGCCTTCTCCAGCTCCCCCCAGTTCCAGCCGTCAGGATTCTGGCTTGCTAAGGATCACCTGTGCTGTGGCATAGTTGACTTAGTGTTGGTCGGACTGGTGGATGGGAATTAAGGGCTGCTCCTTTTTTTTTTTTAAGTGTTTTTAATTTTTTCTTTTTTTTTTTTTTTTGGCTTTTTGGATCACACCTTGCGATGCCCAGGGGTTACTCTTGGCTCTGCACTCAGAAATTACTCCTGGCAGTGGTCAGGGGACCATATGGGATGCTAGGCATTGAACCCAGATCTGCTGCGTGCAAGGCAAAAGCCCTCCCCGCTGTGCTACCATTCCAGCCCCCAAGTGCTCCTTTGGACACAGTCATCAAATACTGAAAGCAGATCCCTTTATTTCTGCAGCAGCACCTTTGGCCTCTTGTTTCATTTGGGGGGGGGCGTAGCCTGTGATGCTGAGGGCTCAAGCACTCCAGGCAGGCTCAGGAGCTAGATGAGGTGCCTGGGATAAAGCTGGGTTTGTTCGGGTACAAGGAAAACACAGTACTTGCTCTACTATCTCTCTGCTTCCTGGCATTTAGGCTTTTAATTTATTTATTTATTTTGCTTTTTGGGTCACAGCCGGCGATGCACAGGGGTTACTCCTGGCTCTGCGCTCAGGAATTACCCCTGTCGATGGTCAGGGGACCATATGGGATGCTGGGAATCGAACCCGGGTTCGCCGCATGCAAGGCAAATGTCCTACCCGCTGTGCTATTTCTCCAGCCCCTGGGCTTTTAATTTTAAATCTTGTTTCCAGATTCTTTCTTTAAAGAAGACCCTTCTCTGCATCCTCAAAGACCCTTTCCCAGACCTTTTGCCTTTGGTTTGATTTTTGTTTGGGGGTCACACTCAGTGGTGCACACAGCTTATTCCTGACTCTCTGCTCAGGGATCCGTTTGTAGTGCCAGGGATCAAACCCAGGATGGCCACGTACATGGCAAGTGCCTTATCCGCTGTACTATTGCCCTGGCTCTGGTGCTCTTTCATTTTTATCTCCGTAGCACCTTGCCTCTTATCCCCCTCTGGGGCCTGACTGGTTAGGAGCTGCAGCCTTGTCCTTCAAATGGGGCTGTTGTGCCTCTGCTGTTTGTGTCTCTTTCAGAGAAGTGCAGTCCTAAAGCCGGTCTTGCGGAGAGGAAAACAAGATCAGCTGTTCCTGCAGTGATGATGAAATCCGTGGGCAGCGAAGGTGGGTAGATTGACTTTGGATGAAGCCAGGAAAAAAGGACAGGAGGCTTGAATGTGAAGGAGAGGAGGCGAGGACTGAGCTGGGTGAGAGGAAGGTGGCTTCAGGGGCACAGTGCTCCCCTAGCCCCAGAGCCCAGGAATGGGGGACCTGCCCTGGGTGGGTGAGCTGAGAGCAGGGAGGGGAGCCTTGGGGAAGGGGAACGTGGAGGCAGGTGGCAGAGGCGGCAGAGGCCACCACTGGGGTTTGGGGATGAGAGATGGACCCTGCTTGTGGCTTTCTCGTGGTCAGGGCTTTGAGTCTCCCTTGGCTGATCTGGTCAGGGCTGGCTTCTGGCCTCCGCTCCCTTGCTGCTGGGGCTTCTTCATGTGCTGTGGGAGTATGCCATCTCCAGCTGCCAACTAATCTAAAATACCCTCTGGTGTCACCTGTGCTAGGCCATGCGCCATCAAAGGTGCTGGGCTCACCACAGAGGGATGGCCACTCATTTTAGAAGTGTCTGTTTATGTTCCAGCAGATGCAGTGGTCAGCAGCTTCTGCCCTTGCTGAAAGTAGAGATTTGCCTTCACTGGTTTATAGACCCCGTGGTGGGTTTTTTGTTTGTTTGTTTGTTTTCTTTTGGGGTCACACCCGGCAATGCACAGAGCTTACTCCTGGCTCATGCACTCAGGAATGACTCCTGGCGGTGCTCAGGGGACCATATGGGATGCTGGGAATCGAACCTGGGTCGGCCACTTGCAAGGCAAACGCCCTACCTGCTGTGCTATCGCATTAGCCCTCCGAAGTGGGTTTTTTTATTTTTTGGCCCATGACAGGACTAGGGCCAAGGGCAGGGGAGGAGAGATGGTAACTGGATTGTCAGTCTTAGGCCCAGAGACCACAGTAAAGCCGGGGTAATAGGCATGCACACGAGATTGCATACCTTTGTACCATCACAGTCCCACTTTTTGGGGGGCTTTTTGGGTCACACCTAGTGATGCTCAGGGATTACTCCTGACTCTGCACTCAGGAATTACTCCTGGTGTTGCTTGGGGGACCGTGTGGGATGCCGGGGATCGAACCTGGGTCGACCGTGTGCAAGGCAAATGCCCTACTAGCTGTACTATCGCTCCAGCCCCCAAAGTCACACTTTTCTGTCTTTTACTTTTCTCCTCTTTCTTCACAGTGTTAGTATAGTCTCAGATTCCAAGAAGAGATTGGTTTAGTTTTGTTTGTACCTGTTTGTGTATCCCTTTTGCTGTCTGGCGTGTTCACATACATATTTGCTTTTTACTGTAGTAGTCAGCGGTCTAAGCACGCTCTCTAATCAGTAAGCGGTTGGTTTGCTGTTTCTTAGATGATGATGATGACGACGCTATAGCTGATTTTCTCAATAGTGATGAAGAAGAGGACAGAGTTTCTTTGCAGAACTTAAAGAATTTAGGTAAGTTTCTGTTGTGCTTGTTTATTTTGTCATCCATTGAGATTATTTGTTTGGGGGTGGGGGGTGGTAGATGTTTGCAGTTGAACTCAAGACCTTGTACGTGCAAAGTCTGAGCTACTTCCTGGCCACTGAGCTACTTCCTGGCCCCCAGTTTTTGTTTTAGATTTCAGCCCACACTTTGGAGCTCAGAGGATACTCCTGCTCAGTGTTCAGGGGGCCATATGGTGCCAGGAATCAAACCAGTGCTTTCAGCATGCAAAGTATATGCCTCCCTTGGGCCCAGAGAGGTAGGATAGCAAGGAGCTTGCCTTGCATGCAGCTGGCCCGGGCTCCGTCCGGCACCCCATATGGTCCCCTGAGCCATGGCAGGAGTGATCCCAGAGCACAGAGCCAGGAGTAAGTCTTGAGTACCACTGGGTATGGCCTAAAAAACAAAGCCAAAAAAATGTGCTTCAGCAGGTTCTCTCTCCTGCCCGATTTCTTTAAGTCACTGAATACTTCAATGTGACTCTCCGTTAGTGGTGTCGGGAGTTCTTGGCTTCAGCCACAGGATTCTGCACACTCACAGGCTTCCTAGCCTTCCAGCTTTCCTCCAAGCCCTGGAGTCCTACTTGTTTTGTGGGTTAGAAATACTCTCCTCTTTCAAGGTGGGCTCAAGTTACCTTTCCTCAGCTAAACTTTTCCTGACCTTTTTGTCTCAGAATTAGGACCATTTTCAGCTTCTAATTTACGGCTCCCCGCTTTTTTTTATGTAATTCATTCTTATGCCAACCTTAGGGCAGGGATATGAATTTATTTTGTTAAAAAATTTTGTTTTGGGGCCACACCCAGTTGCGCTCAGGTCTTATTCCTACCTCTGCACTCAGGGATTGCTTGCGGTGGGCTTGAGGACCATATGGGATGCCGGAGATCAAACCTGGGTCAGACTCAGGCAAGGCAATTGCCCTCCCCGCTGCACTATCTCTCCAGCCCCGGGGATGTGTTTATCCCATATCCCCAATGCTGTCTCCTCACAGCCCCTCCTGCAGGCTGGATAATCTAGGGTTAGCATTTTAGACAGATGGGGCGCTAGTGCCCAGCATTTTTGCTTAGTCAGCCTTTACTGCAGTTCTCTAGTCAGGGAAAGGGTGTTATTGCCAGTCCCGTTTCACAGGTGCTGCTTTGTCTGGCCCCATGGTAGCAATTAGTTAGACTGAGGTTAGAGCCGAGCTGGGGATGGGTGTGGACAGCGTAGAAATTGCAAAGCATCACACAGATGCTCGCGCCAGGTCACTGCTAACTGGATCCAGTGCCAGCTTAAACATCCTTTAGAGCAATAGTCCTCACAATTGAGAACCTTCAGGCCTACGCAGGAAGAAAACACTCCAGTTTCTTAATGCCTTTGATTTCTCTGTCTGCCAGTAAAGTAAGATACAATGCCATATAGCTTAAGTGGCATCAAGCATTGATTGGAAGTATTTTTACTGTGCTGATCTCTCCTGGCTTGGTAAAACCATAGGGTGAAAGGGTCAATGGCAAGGGCTGGGGGCACTTGACACATGCTTCGTGTGTGGGAAGTCTCGGTTTGATCCCTGGCACCATGTGTTCACACTGCCAGGACAACCCCTCAGCACCACTGGGTGTGGCACAGCAACCCCTTCCTCACAAAAATAAATAAAAGCCAGCAGCAAAGATCGATCAGTAGGGCTGGGAATCCAGCTCAGTGGTCAAGTAGTGCGTGCTTTACGTAGGCGAGATTTCCGGCACACAAGGTGAAGTTGAAGGAGGCGCAAACGTCTTTGCTGTCTTTTACATTGCACTGACAGCGTTCTATGTGCTGTTGCCCCTATAATTCAGATGGTCTCTCTTTTGTTGGTTTGTCAGAGGAGTCTGCAGCTTTAAAGAACTTGCTACAGAATCCGCACCTCCGACAGCTCCTGATGAGCCTGGACCAGGCGGACGACAAGGCAAAGCTTATGAAGGCCTGCATGCAGGAGCCCTTGTTTGTGGAGTTTGCCGACTGCTGCCTGAGGGTCGTGGAGCCAGCCCAGGGAGAGGACAGTGAGAGCTGAGTGAGAGCTGCTTGTGCAGGCACAGGCCAGACACACTCACGCACCTGCTTCTGCTCTGCGGAGATCAGCTCGCAGGGGAGCCCTGGGTGAGTCTGGGGCGGCCCAGAACGCACCTCGGCTGAGCCGGGGAGGTCAGGCTTTACCCAGTGCTCTGGGCTCGGGTTGTCAAGAGGTGGGGCACCAGAGCCAGCAAAACCTTCCGAACGGAACAGTTGCTTGTAAATGTTTTATTTTTGGTAATAGTTGAGATATTTATGCTAAGGTAGACATACATGATACAAGTGTTTTCAAAAACTCCGGTGGAATTAAAACTTAGTGTCACTAAATAAAATAAGGATGTGGTGGTTCTGTGATAATCATGCACTGTCTCATCCTTGGCCTCGGATCTGATAATTGCTTGAAATCACATTAAATAAATCAACAACATATTAAATAGTAAGGCTTTGTTCCTTTTGAAGGAACTAGATGCAACATTCCTCCAGCCCCCAAAGTGGAGTAGAACTGACTTTGCCCGTGCTCTTGGCGGGGTGGACAGGCCCACCGGTGATGGACAAACTCGGTCCTGTTTGAGTGCCACCTCTGAAGGTAGGAAAATGTGGAAGTCCAGAGTTACATCCTGAGGTATTGTTGGGGGCCTCACCTGGGCACCTCACTACTTCTGGCTTAGTGTTGGGGGTGAGTCACTCTTGGCAGCGCTCAGGGGACCGTATGGTCCTGAGCGTCCAGCACACCACAGATGTGCACCAGCCCCTTGGGTTCTTTTTGCTGACCCATCAGTGCTGAAGGTGTAGGCTGGAGCCCCCACCCCCGGGCTGTGGCCCCACAGGCAGGCGCTGCTGCTCTCCCCGTGCTTCAGCCGCCCAGGGAGTCGCTGGCAGCTTGGTGTCTTTGGCAAGGCCGCTGGCAGGAGGGGCCTCAAGGACAAAGGCCCCAAGCATCACCCAGCCAGGGGAGGGTGGAAGGTGAGAAGCCCTCACACGTGGCCCAGTCTCTGTCTTTCCAGCAGGATCTGATTAAAACCAGTAACACTGTCGGGCGGAGGTCCAGGGCAGATGTCAGCGTAGTGCAGCGGAGACCGGCGGCAGTGGAACTTGACGGAGCCCTGGGAGGAGAGGGGAGTGGGTCAGCCGCGGCCCGCAGCAAGGAGTGGGAGATGGCAGGGAATAACCCAGGCCTGCTGGGGAATGTGGCAGGCACGGCAGGAGCGAGCCAGCTCTGTTTTTTTTTTTACGGACTTTCGTATCGGTTCCGTGGGGGGACGAGGAAACATGGAGGGAATGCTCCCGGATACCGCCATACAGGAGTGCCACCTGTCGCATTCCTGCAGCGTTCGAGCCTGGAGCTCCAACAATGACTCTCTTGTTTGTAAGCTGCCAGCCTGGGTGTGTTGTCACAGGAGATTGATTCAGCTTAGGGCAGGCAGGACGGCCTCATGCGAGGGAACCGCGTCCTCGTGCCTTTCGCTCACTCCTCGCTGTTGAGCCTACTTGGATACCACCCAGGTGAAAACACAGCCTCACATCTGGACCTTTCACTCACCAGGCTGGCATTCATTTAGCTGGGAAACGTGGTGCTCCATTGGGGCCGTGGTCACAGCCCAAAGTGTTTGGAATTAGGACTAATTTAAGGAGACGCAGATCATGCCAGAACTCTTAGAGATGGTTTTTAAAAAGTGAAAGGGAGGCCACAATAGGCCCTGAGCATGGCAGGGGGTGGCCCGGCCCTCCACCGCCCCTGGGGAAATGCAAGCCATGCTGATGGGACAGTTGAGCCATGGGAGCAGACAGGTTTCCTGTCCAGCCTCAGGCCCGCTGCCTGCCCCCCAATGCTCACCTGTGGCAGTGCGCGGATGGACATGATGCCGCCCTGTTCTTGTACTCTCCGGGTGGTGTAGCTTGTGGTGTCGGGCAGGGGGAGCTGGAGGCAGGCCCAGACCACTAGCTCCCTCTGAAAGCCACGGACGCCCCCCGTGGCATTGACCAGGACTAGTCCCATGGGCCAGAGGCGAATGATTGCCCTCCAGTGCTTGGGGTGTGTCTTGGGCAGCGGGAAGGAGTCCTGGGAACTGGTAGCTGCTGGAGGGGCATGTTTTTCTTCCACACCATCTAGCTCAGAAGCCAGGAAGGCCATCTGGACCTTTAAAAGAAAAGCACCTTAGCCACTTACAGCTTAACTACCCCTGAGGCGGAGCAATGCAGGGAGGGCGCTTCCCTTGCTCATGGCCGACCCAGATTTGATCCCCTGTACTCCACAGAGACCCCCAAGCACTGCCAGGAGTAAGCCCTGAGCATCGCTGAGTGACCACAAACAGAACCAATCAAGAAATTGCCTAGCTTATTATGAGTTCCATCTTGGAGGAGGCTTCTGAGTGTTGCTCAGGGCACCCAGGGCCACTCCTGGCAGATGTGAACCAAGTCGGATGGATGCTGTAATGCCAACACCCAAGGATGCAGTGCAGCTCTGCTTGAGCCCTGGGCTGCCAGGGAGCACGTGCTGGCCTCTGCCTGAGCTCAGGGCTTATACTGTCTCTCCAGCTCAGTGAGCTATTAGTGGCGAATGAAGCAAAAGCTACAATAAATATTAATAAGGTGAACTAAAAGGACGGCTGGTGGTGAATAGATGACTGGATGACCTCCACCAGACTGTTTTCCTGTGGCAGAACTTTATACAGAAACTAAGGCAAGGGGGATCAGTTAGTGTGGGGCTTTTAGACATTTGCCTTATATGCCGCTGACCCTGGTTCATTCAGTCCCTGGCACCAGGTGAGGTCCCCTGAGCATCGCCAAGTCTTACTCCTCAACCCGGAGTATCCACATCCCCCCAGCCTGTGCATCATAGGGAACATAGGCACTGCTGGGTATGAAAACCAAGGAAACTGCCAAAATGAAAACCACAACCAAAATGAAAACCAAGGAAGCTGCCTGGGCCGCGCCTATATGCTCAATAGGCTCATTAAGACCTAACATCAAAAAATTGGTGGCAAGAGAGATAGTACAGTGGGACATATCGCCAACCCGGGTTCCATCCCCTGCACTCCAGATGGTCCCCTGAGTACCACCGCGTGTGGCCCACAAATAAAATTGACCTTCCCAAAGCATACTACAATTTTGGGTAAATTCCCAGTGTTGCTTGTGGCACCTTTTTCTTCTGGGGGTGTTCGCAAGAAATTCAGTGGTGCTGGGAGCCAAACCCGAGGGCAGAGTCCAGGGCTCCTGTGTTCACACATGTGCTCTAGGCCTTTGAGCCCTCTCCCTGCCTGCCTGCAGCTCCCCGTCCCTTCACAGCCACGCTGCAGTGCACGCACCCAGCGAGCGCAAACGAACCACCGACCCCTCGTCATGCAGTGGCAGTAGCAGCCTTGCCATGGGGCGGTCCTGCAGACGTGGTTCACCACCTGTCCACCCACCGTGACTCTGAGTCCCGTACTCACTCTCTGCCTCCGCCAGGCGCGCTTGATGACAGTGGCGGCCGCGTGCAGCCTCTGGATATGTGTCCGAGTTCGCCAGGAACGAAAGGCTGAGGGGTGTGCCCAGAAGCAGGAGAGAGAGGGAGTAAAGTGTTCACAGAGAGAACTGATCTGTGCCTGGCTCTGCACCCAGCCCTGTGTTGGAAATGGCACTTTTCCTAGAGCTGGGTTCCTTGTGCCATTGATGCAAAAGTCAACACACGGGACTGGAGCAATAGTAGAGCAGTTAGGGTACTTAGCTTACACACACAGCTGACCCGGAACCCCATATAGTCCCCCCAGCCTGCCAGGAGTGATCCCTGAGTGCAGAGCCAGGAGTAAGCCATGAGCATCACCAAATACGGCCTCCCCTCAAAAAAAAGTCAATATAAGCACAAAAATGCTGAGAAGCACCCCTGAGACCACCCAGGAGGACACACCGCAGCACCCCAGAAATAAGGGTGCTGATCTTCAAGATGGTCATTTTCCTGGGACCCCTGTATAGAGTCCCTATTGGCCTTGCATCCCCGTGAAGGGAGGCTGCAGAGGGATGGCTGATGGCCGTGTGACATTCTTCCTCTCGCTGTTTTCAGCACTTTGGGATTCTTTTTTCCAAAAAAGGGTGTTTCCATTAAATACTACTGTTTGCATCCTAGAAAACTAAAACTATAAAGTCAGCCAGCCTGGATTTGCACGTCAGATGTGCAGGTTTGAGTGTTAGAAGTGGTTCTCCAGACTGGAGAGAGACTCAACAGACTGAGTGCCTGCTTTGTGTGAGGGATCCCCAGTTCTGTTTCTGACAAACCTGTCTCCCCAAGTACTGCCAAGAGCCCAAGCATGGGGCTGGGATTAACCTGTTAAGCACCAGTGGGTGTGGCCTTCCCCCAAACCCCCAGACCCCTACAGAGGTTTTCCCCTGACTTAGAAATATTCCTCCATCCTCCCAGGATGGGAAATGCATGTTGAAAGACTATGGACCGAACATGATTGCCACTCAATGCCTCTTTTGCAGACCACAACACCCAAAAGGAGAGAGAGAACAAAAGGGAATGCCCTGCCACAGAGAAGGGTGGGATGGGGGGGATGGCAGTGGAAGGGATACTGGGATCCATGGTGGTGGAAAATGGGCACTGGTGGAGGGATGGGTATTTGATAATTGTATAATCGAAACCCAAGCACAAAAATTTGTAAGTCTACAACTGTACCTCATGGTGTTTCACTAATAAAAATTAATAAATAAATAAATTTTAAAAAATGACAAGTACATAGAGACAGAATAAAAGAAGTCTTCTTTAAGAATTTTCTTCTTCCTATGAGCTGGAGTTCTTTTTGTTGTTTTATTTCTGATATTTAGACTTATTCACATGGAATTTATGTAACATTTCAAAATTTGTGAGTTTACCTTATATTATTATTACTGTTGTTCATGTGATGGTGGTATTTTTTCTGGACTAGTGATTATCTAATATTACTATTGTGTTCTCTCTACTCAGTTTCATCTTTTGGAAAGTTTATTTAACCCTGTGATCCCCTAGATTTTACTATTTTATCTGTCTAATGCAATAGCAAAAAAAAAAGAAAGAAATATTTCTTCAACAGCTTCTCTCGCTGCAGCTGGGTGCCCCACTCTCCGACCGCCACCCAGTCAGATGGCCGTGCAGCGGCTACTGCTGCCAGCATGCCCCTGTGTCTCTTCCTCTTGGTTTTGACCTTTGCAAACTCCCTATAGGCCCTGACACTGGGCAAGCAGGTTAATGGTTTGAGTTGTGACAACGGGGAAAAGGGGGAATGGGTAGCTTGCGGTTGGGCACACATCAGCCTCCACCACCAACAGAGGTGCCACCCACTGACTGTCATGTGGGCCTGAGAATCCCAGGGAATTGTTGGGACGGGCCCTCCATG